ATCCTGAGGACAGTTTTCCTCTCCAAATAACCTAATGCCCACAGACTGTATTAACATTCATTTTCCTCATATAACACTAAGTGTGGAGAACAAATAGAAACACTGATTAACTCAACAGGTCAATAGCATCAAAACTCCAGGCTGGCATCACTAAGCTACTTTTACCTCATATAACAAAATGGCTGCAACAGCTCTAATCAGACATACCATATTCAAACATAAAAGGCAAGGGGCAGCATAAGTCAGTTTCACCTCCAGAATTTGACAGAAGATACTCTTAGGAAAACCTCTCCCATCTCCTTGATCTGGCCACATGCCCATTTCTAAACCAAGACGTACTGCACCTTTCCTGAAAGCAATGATGCCATCAGGCAGACAGTAGGGCAGTGCCTTCCTAAGTAGCCCGGGCATCCCTAAAGCCTCTCTACTTTGAGGCCACACTACACACAGCTTCCCTACAAGCAGTGATCCTCTTGGGTTACAACCTACCATTTCCTCTAAGTATCTGCTTCTGCTGTTAATTTTCTAGTCTTAAAAGCTAAAAAGGTGGCCTTTGGTCACTGCTGAAATCGTTTCCTTGCACTGAGGCAAGAAGCTAAGACTTTCAGCCCAATTCTAATGGTGGAAGAGCTTCAAAAAGGAAAAAAAAAGTCTGCTCTATTAAATAATACCATTATGGTCACACCATTCATAGTGATGGTGCATGGGGACAGAGTAAATGTGCATTCTTTCCAGTTTATCTGTGAACCTAAAACAGTTCTATGTAGTTTCTAAAATTTTAAGATTCAACATGATTTGTAGATATAATTCTAACAACATGATATTTCCTACCTCCCTCCTCCTCCTACAGGTCAATTTTTCTCTGGAATGCCCACTTTTTAAAAATCTGTTTTCACTTTAATTGAATGGCAGACAGAGACAGATCTCCCACCCACTGGTTCACTCCCCACAAAGCCTACAACAGCTAGGCCTGAGCCAGGATAAAGCCCAATCTGGGTCTCCCATGTGGGTGTCAGAACTCAAACTCGAACCATCATCCTCCCAGGTGGCTCCCAGGGTGCACCTCAGCAAAAACAGGATAGGAAGCCAAAGCCAGTCCTGTAACCAGACACCCTGATTTGGCATGCAGGTGCATTAATCACTGCACCCAACACCCACCCTGCTAATGTCCACGTTTGAGCATTTACCTGTATGATTCCTTTCTCCCATTTTTGACTAGTAGAATCCTGTTTACCCTGGCAGTCTCCCCAGCTATACTTCCCTACTCTGTGAGAGCTACAACTGATGACATCTACAGGGGTATTTCAAAAATTTCTAGTTAAATATGCCTTCTTGGGGTCAGCATTGCAGTCACCTGTGATGCTGGCATCCCATATAAATGCTGGGTCAAGTCCTGGCTGCTTCACTTCTGACCCAGCCCTGCTAATGAATCTGGCAAAGCAGTGGGAGATGGCTTAAGTACTTGGCGCCCTGCCACCCAAGTAGGAGACCCAGATGGAGTTCCAGGTTCCCAGCTTCAGCTTTAACCAGCCTCCAATGTGGCCATTTTGGGGAGTGAATCAGCAGATAAAATGTTTTCGGTCCCTCAAAAATTTAAAGGACTTATTTGAAAGTGAGAGTGAACCATCTGCTGATTCACTCCCCTAGATGGCCAGCACTGGTTCAGATCCGAACCAGTAGCTTCATCCAGGTCTCCAACGTGGATGGTAGGGGCTCAAGCACTTGAGCCATCTTCTGCTGCTTTTCCCAGGCCATTATCAGGGAGTTGGATAAGTAAAACAGCTGGAATACAAACTAGCATCCACATGGAATGCCAGCACTGCAGGCAGAGGTTTTACCAACTATACCACAACACTGGCCACCAAATAAAATTTTTAAAACTATGCCTTCTTTCCTCCTTCTTGCATCTTCATTCAGGAAAAACAACAGTGATAATGGCTAGTTACAGCAGTTACACTGTGAAATAAAGGTGACACTAAGAACAGAAACCACGTGCAAAAGAAGGGATGGCAAAAACACTATAACACTCATTGGTCACAATGCTTCTTGGGATACCTGTAGATTCTTTTTTAAAGATTTATTTATTTGAAAGTCAGAGTTACAGAGAGGTGATAGAAGAGAGGTCTTCCATCCAATGGTTCACTCTCCAGATGGCTGCAACAGCCGGAGCTGCCCCAATCCGAAGCCAGGAGCTTCTTCCAGGTCTCCCATGTGGGTGCAGGATTCCAGGCCATAGCACAGAGCTGGATCAGAAGTGGGGCAGCCGGGACTTGAACCAGCACCCACATGGGATGCCAGCATTGCAGGTGGCAGCTTTACCCACTTCGCCACAGCGAAAGCCCCCTGTATTCTTTTAAAACCTTTGTATTAGTTTTTCTCATGTTACCAGCAGTTATGTTACCAGCAGTTCAGTGCAACTAATCCACCACACACTGACTTAGGGAAAAATACTTTCTAGGTAAAACGAAAATTATAAATAATGGGCTTCAAGCAATTAAGATTTCAGAATTTCTGAGTCAGAATACATGCTCCCTCCAGGTCAGCCAAGCACCAGCAAACACTTTCAGAGGGCAGCTGAGTCCAACCCCAAGAGCGGAAAGCTACACAGGAAACAAAATAAGAGCAAGGTACCTAGAAAATCACCTCAATGAGGGCTGGCTGCTGTGGCCAAAATATCTGAATAAAGAACAGTGAATTATTTAGAATATTTTTACAAGCAAAATCAGAAAAAATATTTCAAATACTGGTTTAAAATCACCCAATCTGCCTAAGCTATACTCATTCTACTCTGTTCTCACGTATCTTCACTAAAATCAGGTATTTGAAATTGAGGCAGCATGGCCAATTTTTTACAACTTTGGTTTATAGAATCATACTAGGTAGCATACCTTAGATGCTATTCCCAACTATGTCTGTTTATGAATTAAAATTAATGCCAAGTGGTCATGGCAGAATATGCCTACAACTCGACAGGGAGTAGCAGTGGAAGGATGAAAAATCCACAGAATTCCTTGTTATTATTTTCACCCTGGAGCTTTGAAACACGCTGCTGTTCAGAATACTTGTGAAAAAGTGAAGGTACCTGGAATGCTGATATACACAGCCCATTCCCAGGATGCTTTAACCAGCCTGGGGAAATAATAGTAAGAACATTTTCGCAAGGCAGTTTCCACTTGTGCTGACTCAAATGCTAATTACTCAAATGAGTCAGTCCTGAGCAGGTAACTGTACAAAGTCACACAAGTTTACAAAAACAGAAGGGCTGCATGTGATGTGAGTTTACTTTATTAATATACATCTGCAAAGAACAGTACAATCAGCAAAATACTGCTATTGAAAGATATTATTAAGTATTTTAACAGATCTTAAGTCTGAATACTTACAAATAGGAAATACATCTAATTCTGCAGGGGCAGAGATTAAAGAATAATTTTAGGGGCTGGCACTGTGGCATAGCAGCTAAAGCCACCACCTACAGTGCCGGTATTCCACATGGGTGCCGATTCTAGTCCCAGCTGCTCCACTTCTGATCCAACTCTCTGCTATGGCCTGGGAAAGCAGTGGACGATGACCCAAATCTTGGGGACCCTGTACCCACGTGGGAGACATGGAAGAAGCTCCTGGCTTCAGATCAGCGCAGCTCTGGCCGTTGTGGCCATCTGGAAAGTGAACAAACAGATCGAGGACCTCTCTCTCTGCCTCTCCTTCTCTGTGTAACTGTAACTTTCAAGTGAAATAAATCTTTTTAAAAAAAAAGATTTTAAGAGCACAAACTTAGCCAGCGCCGCAGCTCAATAGGCTAATCCTCCACCTAGTGGCGCCGGCACACCAGGTACTAGTCCCGGTTGGGGCGCCGGATTCTTTCCCCGGTTGCCCCTCTTCCAGGCCAGCTCTCTGCTGTGGCCCGGGAAGGCAGTGGAGGATGGCCCAAGTGCTTGGGCCCTGCACCCCATGGGAGACTAGGAGAAGCACCTGGCTCCTGCCTTCGGATCAGCGCGGTGCAACGGCCGCAGCGCGCAAGCCGTGGCGGCCATTGGAGGGTGAACCAACGGCAAAAGGAAGCCCTTTCTGTCTATCCACTCTGCCTGTCAAAAAAAAAAAAAAAAGAGCACTTAGAGGTGAGTATTGTGGCACAATGGGTTGGTTAAGCCACTGCTCGGGATGCCTGGGATGAAGTCCCACCTCTGCTTCTCTGCTTCTGATGCAGCTTCCCAGGAGGCAGCAATGATGGCCCAAGGACTTGGTTCCTATTACTAAGAGACACATGGATGTTGTCTTCAGAATGGATCAGCCTTGGCTATTGTGGGCAGTTACATAATCAATCAGTAGACAAAGATCTCTGTCAATTTGCCTTTCAAGTAAATCTTTTAAAAACAAACAAAAAGTACAAATTTTAAAGTATGTAATATTTTTATTGAAAAGATGTATAAGTTTAGTAAATTACAGTAACTTCACTACCCTAAAAAGCATTTTCGTTTTTATTGACCTCAGTCCTCAGACACATTAACAGTTACATACCATGACGAGCAGCACAATGTAATTACAAATTTCCACACCATTAGAAATGCTTCAAATTTTCAGTCCAAAAGACAAACCCAGAAACTTTCCAAGATGAATATTTACAAATACAGTGCAGGAAAAAACAAAAAATTTCAACAGTTTTGACATGCTTTCTCTTGGACAAAAAGTTGCTACAGAGAGTGGAATAGCTGATAGTCTATAGGTCACAGAAAAGAGAACTTGAACCAGAAAACACTGAAGAACTATGCTTTCCAAAACCTTCCAGTGATTTTGAAGACAAACACAACTAAGTATACTTCCCAAGTTTCAAATTTTCATTAATTGACTTTAGTAATCAATGATGGCACCATGCTGCATACATTGCTGTCTTTGGTATCCCTGCAATATTTTCATTTATTGAGAAAACTTGCAGGCAAGAACTATATTACACCAAAGCAAGGTAGCAAGAAAACTGGTTACCGTGGAATAATAAGGCCCTAAGAAAGGCAGCAGGTCGTATAGTTACCTCCTTGTGGGCAAAATCCCTGCCCTAAAACTATGCAACCTACTACCTCTTCCTAGGAACCCATTTTTTTCTTGTCGGTCTTCTACTTGGCAGCTGTACTTCAAATTAACCCATAAAGTTAGGCCACATTTTTGTTTCAAACTTTCAGTCCAATAAGAATTCACCGATGCTTTTATGTTACTAGCCTTGTAACCCCATAAACCACCTCTAGCAAATCACAAAAGAACAAGAAAATCAGTCAATGACACCAGGGGATGCAAACCATCCTTAACTCAATCCATCACATATTGCTAGAGCCACATACTTCTGAAACACTTAAAAACAGTCTACCAAAATTTAAATACCAAATTTCATAAAACACCCAGCCTTTTCTGATAAACTAGGAAATTAGTTGACACTGTGTATAATTCATCTTGCCTATTAGCTGGAGTAAATTAACTAATTCCTTTAGAAGTCACGTTTCCTAGTTACAAGCCTCTGCAGTTAATTCCATTTTCCACAAACTTTTTGAAGCATTTTTGTATTTCAGCTTTTGACCCACAGTCATAAGCAGAAGCAAATTTTGATCATAATGTCTGTCATCATTAGAAGTAAGATTTCAGACTGTCATACTTCCCATAAAGGCACTTTTCAGTAAAATGTACCATTCCCCACAATTCAATCCACTCACTCTGTTTGGCTAATATGGGCCTTTAAGTAATTAATAAAAGACATGCATTTTTCCCTCATACTTTAGTAGATATTAAGTTTCAAACTACAGAGTGGTAACTGTATCCACATTGGAGGGACATGTGTTAGAAAACCACAAAATACCATGATTGGGATCTGCCACACATTCAGCAAGTTATGCATACTGTCAATTTAACAAAGATAAGACAAATTCCCCGAACAGTCCTACAAAAAGGCAGTGAATATCAATATCCCCACCAGCAGCCAATGCTTTTACATCCAGTTTAGAACAAGACCAATTTTCCATTCAGGTGTTGATCTATATGCCAGGGATCTACAAAGCATCAATTTGGTCCAGAATAATCACCTGGATTGGGCCCATCAATTTCATGGAAAGTTCTTGTTGCCAATGCCACTACACTGTGATCCTAGAAGATATTAAATATTAAGATTAGGGACAGGGGCCAGCGCTGTGGCATAGTAGGCTAAGCCTCCACCTGCGGCACTGGCATCCTATATGGGCACTGGTTCAAGTCCTGGCTGCTGCTCTTCCAATCCAGCTGATTATGGCCTGGGAGAGCAGTGGAAGATGGCCCAAGTGCTTGGGACCCTACATCCATGGAGGAGATCAGGAAGAATCTCCTGGCTTCAGATACCCTCAGCTCTGGCCACTAAGGCCATTTGGGAAGTCAATCAGCGGATCGAAGACCTTTCTCTCTGTCTCACCCTCTCTTCTCTACTTCTTCTAAAGAAAAAAAAGATTAGTGATAATGGGAAATATTTGTGAAAAAGTGAGCTCTCCCCTCATACCCACACCTTGTCTCTTTTCTCTCTTGCACAAAATAAAAAATGTAAACAGCAAAGCAGTTCATATCAGGGAGCTATTTTAACCATTTATGAAGCAAGGAAGCATATGGTTTGCCCAATGAAAAAAGCTGAAATGTGGACTATCTTCATATATATTAAAACTTTAGTAGCCCTTTCTAACATTTTTATATTTCTTTACCAGTGACCATACGGACCTCCCCATGTGAAGATAGTCTCAGGTGATCCCCCTGTGTGAATGAGTGACAACTTCAGCTGAGATCTTGGCAACTTACCAGGAGTAAGTAAGTGTAGAACTCAGAGCCCATCATTCCTTTTCCAGGCTTCTGAGTTAAGCTGGTCCAAAGCAACACACCAATAAAACAATATATGCACCATTCTCCAAGACCACTCAAAACTCAAACACGGAATGAACTCTCACTGTAAGATTCAGCACCCTTCCAGTTTTTATTTACCTTTTCCAGGACCTCAGCCTGGACCTAAGTTCCAAGAGGTAGAGCAGTGAACCCAGTTCCTTATTAAGACTGCCCAAAGGGTACACACCCCTTCATTTTTTTTTTTTTGCTTAATTTCAAATCTCTGAAAGGGATCATATTTGAAAATTTAAAATGTTAGATCACTAAGCTACTATATTTGTAAAGAGCACATTAACAACCGATAAATACACAAAAATGGCAAAATTAATCCTTCAGAGTTGACATATAATCGAGATTAAAACAAATAATAATGCAGCAAGTCTACTCCTCAGGGAAGGCAATAGATTGTATAGTTATCTCCTGAACAGGGTAAAATCACTACCCCACAACTATACAATCTACTACCTCACTCTGATAGAGCAATCTTCTCTTCTGGAATGCAGATCACAATCTCTTTTAAAAGAAAATTTCAATATAAATTATAAGCAGCAACGAAAATCAAATACACACTTATTCTGACATACAGAAATGAAACAAGCAGAAAGTATCCCCATCCTATCCCAGTCTAGTCATTAAAGGTTTTTCAACCTCTACAGAATAAAATCACACTACAGTTTTAGACAAGTTAATCTTAAACACTGTACAATTAATGATTTTCTAAGAGGCCACCTGCATGCAGACTTTTCTATCACTTTAGGAAAGACAGTAGATTGTATAGTTATCTCCCAGTGGTGGGTGTGACCCTAAAACTATACAACCTACTACCTCATCCCACAGTGAAGAGAACCCAGGGTGAACGTTGAAAAGGAACCACCGTTGCGCAGCATAGGAAAGGCTTTCTTCTTAGCAATCCTGGTTCCCTGTGTAACAAACAAAAAGAGTATTACTCCACTTTCATTCACTTAACTTGAAATTTAACTGAACATTTTCACTACTTGTAAAATGTGCTTTCTTTTTACTTTCTATTTCACCAGTGTTACTTCAAATGCTTTGTCATCTGAATCTAATCATACCATACGTTTACAAGATTTAAAATTCATGTTCTTATTAGCACCACTATCTCATACTATCAAAATGTGATTTTCTTACTAGTAATAAAAATTCATAAAAATCACTTATCCCTCCTTGATAAAGAATTACAAAGCAAACCACTGGCTCTAAAGAGCTCTGTGACTCCAAATATCCTGTGCAGCATGCATAATCCATGACTAAATGTGCTAATGTACAAAGGGATGATCTCAGAGACCCTAATTTTTAGAAGAATTTACACATTTGACCCAATAGCAGCAACAAATAAATGGTCTTACTAGCAGGAAATTAAAATAATCAACTAGATCTGAATCAGGGTCAAGACTCTAGCCAGAAAGTTGCTGTAAGGATCAAACACTGTTTAACACCTTGGTACAATACTATTAAAAAAAAGCAACATGACCATTTTAGTTTTATAATCAAAATCTTTTTTTTTTTTTTTTGGACAGGCAGAGTTAGACAGTGAGAGAGTGAGAGTGAGAGTGAGAGTGAGAGCGAGAGTGAGAGAGAAAGGTCTTCCTTTTTCCATTGGTTCACCCCCCAAGTGGCTGCTACAGCTGGTGTGTTGCTGCCAGCGCACTGCGCCGATCCGAAGCCAGGAGCCAGGCACTTGCTCCTGGTCTCCCATGCGGGCACAGGGCCCAAGGGCCTGGGCCATCCTCCACTGCCTTCCCAGGCCACAGCAGAGAGCTGGCCTGGAAGAGGAGCAACCGGGACAGAATCCGGCACCCCGACCAGGACTAGAACCTGGGGTGCTGGTGCCGCAGGCGGAGGACTAGCCTAGTGAGCCACAGCACCGGCCTATAATCAAAATCTTAAAACCTCAATTAATCTAAACCGTGGGGAACCATTAGCCTTCAATTTACAGACTTCATTCTTAAAAGGTAATTAATATAAAGATTATTTAAAGGAGGCACTAAATTTAATACTAAATATCTAGTCATTTAGTAATCCAAACCATTTTTTTTTTTTACAAAACATACAAAAACATGTATCTCAATGTACTAGAATTTTAAATTCAGAAACAAATCTATACACCAAGTCAACTGATTTTCCCAAAGGGTCCCAAGACAATTCAGTTGGGAAATTTTTTTCAATACTGTGATATGGAGACAACTAGGTAAACACATGCAAAAGAATGATTTTGGACTCCTTTATCATATCATAAACAAAAGTAACTTAAGTCAAATAAATAACCTAACTTAAAGAAGGGCAAAAGATTTATTTCACCAAGATAAGGGTCAAAAGCACAAATAGGCAATAAACACATGAAAAGTTGCTCAACACTATTCATGAAAGGAAATGCAAACCAAATCCATGATGAGGTTGAGGTTATCACTTCACACCCACCAGGATGGCTAACACTCAGAAAGATAGCAATAAAGGTTAGCAAGGATGTAGAACAGGGGCGGGCAAGGTCTGGTCCATGGGCAGTCTGATAAGAATTCATTTGATCTGGCTCTGCCAAGGCAACAGCAGGGACTCGAGATGGAGTAAATCTGTAGCAGATTAATTTTTAGGTTGATAATTTTTTACGACCCAAAAATGATGTTATATACAAATGGTCCTTTGTAGAAAAAAGGTTCCCCACCTCTGATGTAGAGAAATTAGAACACTCAAATTGCTGGTGAGGATATGAAATGGTATAGCAGCTTTGGAAAAGTTTAGCAATTCATCAAAAAATTTAAACAGTCACCATCGGTAGCATAAGAAATATCTGGTCTTTATCCTCAGTTGGGGTCCTCGGCACACAGTTCCCCAACCTTTGGAATCTCCCCAGTTATCAGAGATAAATGTCTTTTTAATGTTAACAAGATCACTGATGACTGGAGATCCACAGAAAAAAAACTTCCAGATGGAGTTGGTCACCAGAAAACTAAGGTGTCATGTAAGGGTTGGAATTTCCCCCACCCCTCAATGGGAAGGGAGAGGTGCCAGAGACTAAAGCCAATCAGTAATGGTCAATGATGTAAACAATACCTAGGTAAGAAAATATCCATAAAAACTCCTGAATGAGAGCTTCAAGGTGGCAAATCCAACCTTCATGTCAGTAGAGTGGTATAATCCACAACCCCACAGTGATAGTAGCTCCTCTTGTACACAGAACTCTC